CTCCTTCTTCCTGACACTCACCCTTTACAAATTTATAAATATTAATGAGGTCACCCCTCAGTCTCCTCTTTTCCAAGCTAAAGAGACCCAGCTCCCTCAGCCACTCCTCATAAGGGAGATGCTCCACTCCCTCAACCAACTTTGTGGCTCTGCGCTGGACTCTTTCAAGCAATTCCCTGTCCTTCTTGAACGGAGGGGCCCAGAACTGAACCTGATATTCCAAATGCAGTCTCACCAGGGCAGAGGTGAGGTATAGATGCCTTTCTCCAGATGTTGTTTGTGGCTCTGACTTGCAAAGAGAGCCTGCTATTGTATTCACCCTTGCCTGGTGACAGAAAGACCTCCATCCAGAACCTTGTCCAAATTTCGTACAGAAATAAAAGTGTCTTTCAAAATCTTCAGGCGAAAAAAAAAAAAGCTCTAATTATATAAATGAAATATCTGAGCAGAATGCCCTCTAGAAGCTTTGAAAGTTGTTCTTGTTGTCACTGCCTGTACAGGAAATTAAGGCACAATTTGGAAGGACTACTGTGCCAAACTCCTTTATATTAACCTTTAGTCTTCCTAACTTGTTGCTGTTTGAGAACCAGAAATGATTTACCTTCTGAAACACAAGGTGAGATTCATTTTAGGTAACTTTAGGTATTTATTACATACATATCTAAATCTGAAATATGTGTTTAGAACATCTTCCTAGCCACAGTCAATAGATAAATAGGCATTTCCTCAGTTTATTTTGTCGTCTTTATACTGAATATTTCTTAATAGAGGTGCACCTCATGGTGGAAACATCCAGAGTCAGGTAAGATACTTCTCTCAGGAGGCTGTGGTGGTGTGGCTGGATTTGATCAGTGGACAACGTGCTGAGCACCACCTTCTGTGTACCCAGAGAAGCTGCAACCCCTGGCCCCACCAGATGTGAGACTCATTTATGCCCCTGAAGCCCGCATTTACTTTGACATAGCTCCCATCACCATTTGTTTTTGCCATGACATTGTTTTGTGGTCCTATTCCATTCGTTCAGATACTTCTAACCTGTATTGTAGCACCCTATTATCTATTGTATTCTGAAAATAACACTTCAATAAGCAAGAAGAAACTTGCTTGAACGTGCAAGACCAGCATTCCCTTATTCCAATGTTGTTTGTGTCATCTGCAATTGTGTGTTCTTGCAGCAAAGCCTGTCCCGCAACATTTAAGAGGGGATTATGCCATGCATAAAGCTGTTGTGCACATATCTTCCCATTTTCAAAACCACGGCTGCAGTACTTGAGTAGCAAACCAGACACCCTTGATGAAGGTTCTGATTAAACACACACCATTATCCTGATTAATATGCAAATAAGCAATGCTAAACTGTTTATGGGATTCAAACTTTAACCACTGACCCACTTCAACAAATGAGGACTGCAATCACGCTCCTCATAAGGACAGTGAACACAACTTCTTTTGCTACTGGCTTGAGCAGAAGGCTCTCGATTTTCATGTTTTATGCTCAGAATATAAATTAGTTTCTTCTTGTCTGAAGCTTCTTTATGTCTGTAAGTTTGAAGACAACTGTTTTGTTCAGATACTGCTTTTCCTTATTAAACCTACATTTGAAATATAAGCAAAAAAACACGGCATAGTTAATCTGTTGGCATATTTCAAAAACAGGATAAAATTAAAATGCAGGTCTTTTGTCCGACTTCTACAGCGCGATCCAGTAGCACCACCTGCTGTTTATAGAGAGCACTGCTGTTTTATAGGTACACATCACCTTTTATTTAATATACAAATCATCTATACAGTTTAACCTTTTTGAGTGGATGAGACACATGCTTCTAAATTCCTTTTTTTTTTTTTTCCTGAAAAGCCATTGTAAGTGTCCTTTGCAGGAAAGGCAGATATTAAAACAGTGCTAGACTTTTCACAAGGTACATCATAATACTGAATAATGACAAGAGGTATATTTAAAGGGGAAAAAAGCCTGCTTAGAGGTCTTATTTTTGATGTTTTATTTGTGGAAAATATTTTGGCAGAAACCCACATCTTCTCTGCAGCAGTAAATGGTCTGGTAAATTAGAAAGCCATTGCACTAATTTCAGTGAAGGAGAAAACAAAGCAGGAATATTTTTATGCTTCAGTGTGAATTAAATTCTAAAGCATTTTCAGAGATCCACTTGAGGTTGCAGAAATGGGAATCAGCTTATGATAGTAAGGCATAAAAATCTCTGGTATATGAGCCAAGAAAAAATTTTTTTTCATCCAAATCTGAGCTCATTTTTAAGTCATTAATGACCATATAATTTGTCCTTTTCCCTTTCTCTGCTTCCCTCTTGCCTTGGTGCTGGTAATTCAGGCCTTTCCAGTACAGTATTGGGGTTTTCCTGTGGCTTTGAGCTGTGCCTGGCAATGTGGGATTCCCAAGAAGGGGCAGCGCTTGCAACTGATGCTGCATCAGTGGTACAGAGATGCCCCATGGGAAGGAACTTTTCACAGACAACAACCCTTCCTCCCTGTCCCCCAAGCATGTCCCGTGGCCCTGAGCATCTCTCACAAGGCTGCAGCTCACAGTGCCTCCTGGGTTTGCCCAGAAAGCATCTGGGTCTTTACTGGTGTTACTTCACGAACTGCCATTAGAGCCAACAGCACTGCAGTCAGATGGGGGCTCGCTTCACAGGAGGCAGAGCGGGTTGACTGCCCCATGGCTATGGTGGGCATCGCTGAATCCACAGCACCATCCCAGAGCACTCCTCCTCATGGACTAGCTTGGGCAAAACAGAAGATCATGGAGAAAATGAATTAGGAAGAAATTCTTTACTGTGAGGGTGGTGAGGCACTGGAACAGGTTGCCCAGGGAAGCTGTGGATGTTGTTCAAGGCCAGGTTGGACACGGCTTTGGGCAACCCGATCTAGTGGGAGGTGTCCCTGCCCACGGCAGGGGGGTTGGACTGGATGATCTTTAATGTCCCCTCCAACTCAAAGCATTCTATGATTCCATGATAGTTATTTACAAATATGGCATTTTGAGTAAGACCATGTGTCCTGCTGGATTTTCTAATGTAGGAGTCAAGTCTCAGTATAGGAGAGGGTTTTTAAGTGGAAAGGGAGAATAATTACAGCTTCACTAAGGAAGAGTAAAAATATGTCAAAGATATCTAGTGAGAGGTCTAGACAGACTCTAATGAATGTTTGTGAAGCGTGCAATACTGCAGTCAATATTTACATCACTGATGCAAGAAAGTACTGAAGTCCCAGATACTCATTAGTCTGAAAGAAAAAACTCCCTGACTTCATTCAGAAGAAGTCAAATAAAACTTCACACTCTATCTTCTAAAGAAGACGGAAAACCAGGGGAAGCAAGCCCCAGTTTATTCCAGCTGAAACTACACTGCTTGTAGATAAGTTTAATAGAATTGGTGGAATTTAAATGAAGATCTAGGAGAAAGCCAAATGCCAAATTCCTACTGTAGCAAGCAGACAGTGGAAAAGAAATGGAGCTTAACAGTTCAAGAGGTGAATTAAGAAAACAGCCAGAAGTGTTGAAGTAATTAGTTACATCAGTGGAACCTGACAGGCAAAAGTCAAAAAATAAAAGTTGATGCAAGTGCAAAATAACTGAAAAGCTAAATAAGAACGTTTAACTTCGATCAAGATAAGCCTGATATGTTAGTGAAGGAATGATGATTCAGTGTGTACTACTTTGATGCTGAGCTGCAATGGCAGAAAAGCAGTTTCCACTGGATCTCAGGGAATAACAGGACTAATCCCTTGCAGCACTGTGCTTTAGCAGACCAACTTCAAGGCAGCTATTCCAAGTTCCAAAAATTTTCTGAAATTTGACTAGTTTGCAACTTGTTATCTAGTTGGAGGCCAACTTTGTAATTAGTGTTGCTTGATCCTCAATTCCTTATCAAAAGATTCCCAGAACAGTCTACAATCTGTCCGATAGAGAATACAGGTAACAGACTGCAAAGGATTTTGCTCCAGTCCTAGCCTGTAGTGGTGGTGGTACAACACTTTTGAATGCAGAAAAACACATCCAGGTCCCTCAGTTAACCTAATCATTGTAGACTAGACTGGTTTAGCTGGAAGGGACCTACAATGATCATCTAGTCCAACTGTGATGAAGCTGGGACGAGATGATCCGGTACTGGTTCACCAGAACTAGGTTCACTCTAGGTCTAAGGAGCGGCATGCAGACAGAATAAGCAGAAAGTATGTAAGCAAATTCATTTCCCTCAAAATGAATTGTCATCTTTCTACTGTAATGGCATCCTATGCACTAGAAACATTTAATAAAATCAATACAAGGGAACAGATTTCTAGCCTTGAAATTCCATCTCCTGAAGAGTAAGATTTAGAAAAATAATGAGCCAGATTCTCCTACTTTCACTTTGCTCTGCAAAGCATCTTCTTCAGTGTATTATTAAGGGTATATGCATTACCCAGCTATAGACTGTAAGAGGACCAATGCTGAGTAGACAGCACTCATTGAATAGTTAGAGCTTTCCCTTTTACTAACCAGCAAAAATACCACTATTGAAGATGGTTCTTTCCATTTCCATTTTTCCATCCATAAAAGAGATGAACCTGTTCACTGTAACAATATTCTTAAATAATTAGTTTCTAGAACTAAATGAAAGGAAACACCTTTTATTGCAGAAACCATTTTAATAAGGTCAAAATATACAAAAAACTATCAGAACAAATGTTGGGTGAACAGAAGATCAAAGAGTAATTGTGGCCTCACTGCACAGTAAGTGCTACGTACCTCATTATTCATTTGAAATAAAATTGCGACACTTTTTAAAAAAAACCAAACAACTGTTTTATAATTGTCCATCCTACATGCTTATTCTGTCTATTCTACTGCTGCCCAAAATGCAGGAGTTGCATATTTCAAATGAGCCTGCAGCTAGAAAGGTTTAACTTCTCTTTATTGATTCAGTTCATATATGTTCTAACAAAACGTAAATGGGTTTTATTTTCTTTTAGGGCTTACTTGCAAGTCTTGTTTTACAGGCCATATTCTACAACATAGCTTTGGTAGTAGTCGATGCAACATTTTAAAGAATGTTTGCTATTCACACAATTGGCATTAGATGTTTAAAATATGACTGAAACAGAAGTTAATTTGTACAAACAGACAAAGAGGCTAAAAAGATATTTCAGAACCATCATTGAAAGCCTTTACTGTATCATAGTCACTTCAAGTGTGGTAAAGCAGTTTTCTACCATTTTCAGCTTTTCTTCAGAAAGCAGGTTCTCTTGCTTCAGTTGTCCAATCAGAGCTTCCAAGGACCTGAGTCTCCCTAAAGTTTTTATCTCCTGCATTTCAAGTATAGTGATCTTGGAATGGAGCTTTGAAATTTTCTGCCAAAGGTGATCTCTGTCTATGTCTTGTTTGCAGTATGAATGCTCAGTTTGTAGTATTTCACTTCCACCATACGCATTCAAACACACAGATTCATCGGTTTCTGTCTCTTCTGTGTCGAGAAACTCTTGCTTAATAGGCAGGAAAGGACTATTTACTATTTCAGGCTTTTCTGGACTCTCAGCTGGCACAATGATAGCAATGACAGATTCTTCACTTCCACTGAACTGTTCAATACTTTGTGTGACTGTACTCAGTAAAACTGCATTTTCACTAGTTGGCTGGACTTCAAAAGAACAACCTACAACAGGAGCGTTAGGGTTTTCAATTGCATAGTCAGTAATTGAACCTAAAACATTTTTCAGTTTCAGAGATGAATTCAAGTAGTCAGGGTCTGCAAATTGCAGGACTGTAGCTGTACAACCTACTGGATCTTCCACAGAAGTATGAGCACTGGTAGCTTCCATGCTCTGGATTGCTGCTGCCATTAAAACAGGATTAGGTTGATGTATATGGTGCTTAGACGAATTATCAAGAATGACACTGCCTTCCTGAAAGCCTTCTCTGTTTTGAAGTTGTAGTTTTTGAATTTGTAAAGGTTTACTCAATGCAGCTGAGCAAACTACTTCTGCTTGTTCATCTACATTGTTTGCAATTATACGATTTGTCTTTGGTGCACAAGGTTCAAGTGATACAGATGCCTTCTCTGAGTTTACATTTGTCTTTCTTTCTTCCAAGTCTCTCTTCACCTCTTGTGGGCTGTTCTGAGAAGAGTCTTTTTCCTGAAGAGGAAGAAAAAAAAACAACAAACAAAAACCACCACAAATGCAATCACCCTGTAACTAGGAAATCACTCGAATGTAAAAAAAGATTGGGCAAATCTCATTCTATAGCATGGTACTGTGTAACCAGGAATTTAGATGAGCACCACTCAAAAATTACACCAGAGACGTGGAAATTCATGTTTCTTCCACAACTTTGCCTCAGGTGCTAAATGTTAAAATAACATTTTAAAGCTCTAAAGGCAATAAAAGTTGTTTTTTCTTCTACAAACTCTAGGTAACTTCACTGATTTATCTGAATTGTCATAATTTTAAAAGCACTTGAAGAGAAGTGCCTAAACAAATCTGTTTGGACAAAGACTAGCTATCATCAACTATTACCACCTGAAATGTTGTATTAAATATATGTCTATTAAGTATACACAGTGCAAGATTTTTGCATTAAAGATGCAAGAAATTTGTTTTAGAAAGATATGCCAAACTTTTAGTCGTGTTCTACCCAAAAAAGAGCATTTAAGAACAACAACAACAACAAGATTAAGAACACAGGCTTGCAGAATAGCCAAACATATTAGTGCACAATCAAATAGGCTGTTTTTTAAACAAGCAATTTAATTCTGACAACTAAACTTTGCAATTCACAAAAATTGAGACCTTTTTTTGAGTGGATAGAAATCTGAGCAGAAGAATACAATTTTAACAGGGCTTTAAACAGAAAGAGGGACAATTTGAAGCTTAGCCTTTTTTTTGCCACCTTCTTTCCCCCTCCTCCACATAAACTACCTTACCACATGATTAGATTTAAGATCAGTATCCAAACAAGCTTTTTATAGTGTCAGTCAGTAAAACAAAAATACAGTAATAGCAAGTGTCTTTCAATTTCCCTTTCTCTGTTTTACCAGCAGCTGAAAAAGGCTTTCTCAGACTAAATCCTTTAGATAAACCTCTTATGAAATAAATTAGGGGAATGTCTCCCAAATCCTTGCCTATCAGAAATGCCATTAAGGTTGGAGGAAAGGCACCAAAACACCTCTCAGAACAGAGTTGCCTGCTTTACTTTCACTGAAAAGCTTCCTTGTCCACTGGTTCCTGTCCTCACACTCTTACAACAGTTTTCAAAATAAAAATCTTTGCAAACTGATGTAGAACGATTGCTGACGTTGCTACAAACTATTGTAGAACGATATTGAAATATAGGCAACTATCACTGCTCTTGAGACACATTCTTTATTTAGAAGAAATAATATGAAGGGTTTCCTGAAGAATCATTAAGCATTTCTGGGAAGATATCCTTCACTTGCTCCGTAATACATAAAGCAAGGTGATGGTGAACAATACACAAATGCTGCAACTCTTTGCTGTTAGTTTTCCAAATTTCCAGTGTTTATAGACAAGTGTTGAAATGCAGCTTGGGATCTTAGCTTCCTGTTCCTCTGCATTAACCTAGGAACACACTAACAAGGGATTGTCCTTCAGAATAAGGAGAGCTCTTTCTGACGCCTTTGTGAATACTCAGTCTCTCTAGAAAATTCAGGTTTGGGGCAACTACAGAACCAGGGGCCAAGTCAATGCATACTGTTGATTTGCTGAGGTGGTCACTGACAGGCTATGTCTTGATGTTCAGGAAAAGTGCAGTAAGAAGCATGAGATTAAAAAAAAAAAAAGCCAGAGAGAACAGTAAGACCCCAAGAAAAAAAGTTCACAATATCAGAGATACCAGGAGCTGACATCTCTTCTCTTTTAGTAGCAGGGAAGTGACAGATACATTGAAAGGAAGCATAGGATATGCTTTTTCTAAACTGGATAAATCTGTCTGGAATTTCACAGATATATATTGCTGATGCAAAAATAGTTTAGATAAGCCATTGGTATGTTCTTGGCAACACCACTGCATAAAAATTTTGTTATCTTCATAACTCTACTGTCCATCTTTGAGGGTATACTATGACTGGTCTATGGTCACATGCAAAACAAGGGAGAATGAAGAGGCAGGGAAAAGCTGACTTTGCTTTGGCAGGGGTGGGAAATCACAGAGTTTATCTGTAATTGCATAGAAGCACAGGCATCAAAGTCCAGTTCCAAAGCTGGGGCTCCCTGTTAAAATAACAGCATAGGGAATTGGGTGATATACTGAAATAGGGCAGGGGTGTTGAAAGGAAAGGTATTTATTGCTAAGTTACCACCACCATAAACTGCAAGATTTTCTCTTTTTTGTATTTTAGAGATTTATCAAGACTGCTTTTCACTCGAAAGCAGTCAAAAAGCAGTCTGGACAACACTTGCAGCTATCCAAGAAGACAGAGAACTTCATTATTAAATACAAATTGTTTTGTAAAACCAATTAGCCACATTTCAGTTTCAGCAACTGAGCCTTAATTCTGGTCCTTCCTTCTCCCACCTTCAACATGATGAACCAGAGGAAGACAGTGATGTGTCAGAAGAGAATTAGCATAGCGTTGATCAAGATTAGATGCCTGTGTAGCACAGTATTTTTATGTAACCAGTAGTACCACTCTGTGAAAGACAAGATGGAATAGTCTTTGTGGGATATCTTTAGCTGCCTACATGCCTGAGTTCTTAGGTGTTAGAGAAGTTAGAGACAGGAAAGATAAATGCGTAGTTTAAAACTAATACATTCCAAAGCCAGTATTTATGTACAGTCAATAAAAGACTTTAAAAGAACATGAAAATTTAATTAAGAGTAATTGCACAGAAAGAAATATTTATAATCATAATATTATCTTTTTTTCCTACAGGAAATTTCCTATAGGAAATGTTCCTATAATTTCCAGTTAAAAAAAGGTATTGAACCTCCAGCCAAAGTATGGGAAGTTGTTCTTCCTTTACACTACAGAATAACATACTCATTTTGTGTCAGTCCTGTTGACAAAATATTTTGATGGATAAGAATTCTATTTTTAACGTAAAATATAAATATATTACAGATAATTAGAACACCTGTATTACATAAATAATTGGTTAGCTTTGTACAATAAAAAAGATAGGAATACATTACCTCATCACCTGGGGAAGAGAAAATTGTTGGTACAGCAGTATGTTTCAAGTATCGTATACCCCATCGCACATCAAGGGAATCGGGGGTAAAGTGGTCACTGCATAGAAGCTGGTGCTTACTTGGAGTCCACGCATCTCGCTTCATATTCCGCAGCCATTTCTCAAGTCTTTCTTTATCATGAAGTGGAAATCTTTTTGTAAAGCAGTTGAAAAAAATCAAACAAAAACACAAACAGAAAAATATTCTTTTCAAATAAAGAATTATCTCATTGTTTCTTACAAGGTAGTCTTCCCTTCCAAAAAGATTAAAACAATCCTTTAAAAAAAATTACATATGAAATGCTAATCAGGAGGTCACTTACACTTTAATCCAATGATTATACAGATTATTTCTAGTTGGATATTTGCTTTACAGTTCAGCAGCAGAATTTCTGTTGATTTCTGCTGGCCAAGGGTTTCAGAACTCATGGGAAAGATGTTTTAAAGGCTTGATCCTGCAACACTTGCTCAGAAAGTAGTTCTGCCGAAGTAAGATGAAATACTCTGACTTCATTTAAAAAAAAAATAAGTCTAAACCTGATTTTAGAAACAGTATTTGTGGAGCTTTTTTATCTTGCTGTACACAATTAGTAACTCACGTATGCAGGCCCACAGTGTTCAGAAATGGCAAACTCAGCTGATTTTGAGAGAAAGAGACCTGAGATTGACAGGATAAATGTGTATGTCTTCACTCCTTCCCCAATCTTTTCAATTAGTTGCCATTTCAGTTCTGAAGTTACCAAGGAAACAGAGCAAGCTTTTGAGGCATCTGGCTCTGAGTGCCTGCAGGAAT